GTGGTTAAAGGCACCTGACACCAACCCTGACTATCTGAGCTCTGTCCTTGGGATCTGACTCCAACCCTGTCTATCCGGGTTCTCTCCTTGGGATCCACATGGAGAGAGAGCTGACACCCACAATTGTCCTCTGATCTCCACACCACAGTATGCCATATGTGTACCCCATGCAGTGCACCCCTCACAACAAATAAGTAAGTGTAATGGGGGTGTTAAGAAAAACAATTAAGACTGTCAAATCATATGCAGATAAATGACATGGAAAATGCTCATTTGTTCATATGTTTGGAGTAGCAAATTAATTAAGACAAAAAGTAGGTGGGTAGTTGTTTAGGCATGGGGCACACAGGAATCGATTACTGGTGAATATGAGTATGGCATTCCTTTGTAGGGTGCTGAGACTACTCTCCAATTGATTGGGAAGAAGGTGGCAAAAACTAAATGAACAGATTGAGCACACCAAATCCAAACGTCTAAAATCCAAAATGGTCCAAAATCAATCTTTTGAATGCTGATATGGTATAACTATTTCCTTCTTGTGTGACATGGCCATCACTAGCATGAAGCAGAATTGCAATAGAGCTCTACAGAAGACCCAGACCTACAGTCATGGCAACAAAACAAGCAGAATACCAGAATATAGCTAATATACATCAGTGACAATGTGCCTGTTAGCAGTCCTTCCTGGGAGGACAGTTGAAAGATCCTTACGTGAGATTTCAATCACTGCCTCCTGCCTCAGTTGCACATGGTCTTGGTAGATAGTAGGAAACACTAGGGTACATAGATAGTGGATGGGGCATGGGGTGGGATTCTCCAGTGTGTATTTGCTTATGAGTCAACCATGCTGGGGGTGGAACTTCCCAGTTGTATAGTCTTGCATCACCCATATTCCTGTAAGTATCCCCAATAAATCCACTGACTAACAAGCTAGGTTTGAATGAAATCTCCTTATCTGTCTGTTGCTGTTCTCTTTCTGGTGCTGTTGAGTTGCTAGAGCCACAGCCTGGGTCCTGGCAGAGCCCCTTACAAGCTAGGCTCAGTCACTTGTCTTCAATAGATCAAATAGATAGATAGATAGATAGATATGTAGTGAGGGGCTGCGGGCAGGCCTGCTTTTCATCCTGCCCGGCTCCCGCACAGCTAGCTTAGCCCCAGAAATAATAACACACAAATTATATTCATTTAAGCACTGCCTGGCCCATTATCTCTAGAGAGTTAGTTACTGACTAACTCTCATATCTTGATATTAACCCATTTCTATTAATCTGTATCACACCACGAGGTGTGGCTTACCGGGAAAGATTCAGCATGTCTGACCTGGTGGCTGGCTCCATGGCTTCTGGCTCATAGCCCTCTTCCCAGCATTTTGTTCTGTTTACTCCGCCTACCTAATTTTCTGTCCTATCAAGGGGCCAAGGCAGTCTCTTTATTGACCAATGAAAATAACACAATAGACAGATAACCCTCCTCCATCATTTTCCCTTTTTCTGTTTAAACCAAAAAGAAAGGCTTTCATTTTAACATAGTAAAATTACACATAACAAAACAGTTATCAAGCAAGAATTACAGTCACAATATTTATAACTAAATCTTTATCATAATAATGGAAAACTATAACTACGACTATCCATTCTTTAACTCCATCAAAGACTCCAGAAGGATATATTACCTAAGTAAACAAGAAGTAAGCAACTTCCAAAACTCTAGAAATGACAGAGACATTTTGCTGCCTGGACAGTCACCCAAAGTTCCTCTGTACCGTTGGGGCATCCATCTTTGGCCTTCAGGCCCATAGTATCCAGAGACATTTCCATGAAGCAGGAAATTTCAAAGGCAGTTCAGTCACTATCTGCTGTGTCCTGCAGAATGTCTCACAGACTCTTTCATGAATCAGGAACCCCGAAAGATCATCTCACCTTTAGGCAAGTTTAGCAGTCCTCTGTCTGCGGGTTCTCTGTGTCCGGTTTATACAACAGTCCAGGCAAGAACAGTTTCTTGCCCAAATGGCTCCAACTCCATAAGGAGCCTCTTCGATGCCCATCTTCCTCTTGAAGTAGATTGGTGCTGCCAGGAGCAGACGTGTCTCATTGTCCTAAGTTATTAAAACATTAAATGCTATGTTCTGTAGTCTTTGAAAGATATGAAGAATGTCTCTCTGAAATATATCTATGCACATCTACAAAATCAAACTAACATTACTACAAGCTTGACTATTATCGATGATTATCCATTAACAACCTATATTTTTAATTATACATTGCATTTTTAAATAAACTACACAATCACAATATCTCAATCATGATCAGAAACATATATACATATAACAAAATTGACCTTAAAATCCATAACAAAGCAAATTATTCATATCTATATCATAGATAGATAGATAGGGCTCAGTCATTTGTCTTTAGTAGGCCAAAAAAATAAATAAACAAACAAATAAATAAATAGACCAAATGAATAAATAAATAATTAAGGTTCAGTCACTTGTCTTCAATAGATGAAACAAACAAATAAATCATGAAAAACAAAATATTTTTGGCAATGTGACCATGTTGGGAAAAAAACAAAGAGGGTTGTGACCAACCCCTCTCCCCATCAGTCCGTTTTTGGCCTCCTAATGTGAAGTCTGAGGTATTCATAACTAAGCCATCCTAGTCAAGGCATCCTCTTATCCACCGTCATTGTCTGGGCTGTGGCTTCTCCGGCTCGGTGGGCCGACATGCCAGAATTGCATGCTGTCTCTTTAGGAGATGAGCTCCTCATCTACCTGGCACCAACTTCAGCCTTTCCTCTCCCAGCTGGGGACTCTTAGGGAAATTCCAACTTCTTGGGGTCCATTTCAATAGTCCGATGGCCAAAGGGAGGAGCACAGTGTCTCTTTAGGGCATCATCACTAATGCCAGTACAGATACAGGGTGACAAGCCACACACAGCTGATGTACTGCCCCAAGTGAAAACCCCACCCCTGACTTCATGGGCCGGGTCATAGCCAGAGCACTGGCACAGTAAAAATGCGGGATAAAATCACCTTCAGGCTATGCACGTAAGCTGTAAATGAAACACAGGAGAATATTATGTTTAGAGCTGAGTCCCAGTCACAAGATACCCCATTATCAAATCCAGAATATCTCATCCCAGCCGTTTTAGATAAAAGATGTTCAATGGTCTGAAAAAGCTATTGATGTAGGTTGGACATGTCGCTGCCTGTCTGTCATCTCTGCTCTGGAAAGGTAAAATGGTGGTGATGGTGGGGGAGCTCAAAGCCATCTTTGGTTACATAATGAAGCCAGTCTGGGTTATATAATGCTCTGCTTTAAAAATAAAATCAAATAAAAAATATTTCATTGGACACTTTAAGTTGTCAAATTGTATAGAGTATGAATACTGTAACATGACCCTGTCCTGAAGCCCTAGCCAGAGAGAACATATTATAGACTATGTTCTTTCTTTTAACTATCAGATTATGATGTTCTGTCCCTTGCAAAATTATTGTGCTGAACCGGAATGGTGGGAGTGGGAACTGAAGCTGGTGCCAAAGAAAAAGTACCAATGGCTTCCATTCTACAGCCATCAAACGAATGGACAAAGAACTCTGCCAAGTCTATGAATGGGTAGAAATCATACATCCCACAAAACCCAGCTCTTTTCTTTTAAAATGTGGGCTCCTTAATGCCTCTTTCCTCAGTCGGGACTGAAAATAAAAACCACCTCTAGGGACTGAAGAAGAGGCTTAGAGGTTTAGAGCACACACTGCTCTTGTGGGGGCTGAGTTTGGTTCCCAGTGCTCGTATTGGCAGCTCCCCACAGTTAGCCCCTGAGGGCAGGGAAAAGCCAGGCCCATCCCTGAGGACCTCCTACTCCAGTCGTCCACACACAGAATATGCTAACTGCCTAATGACCAGGCCTGGCCCCACCCTGCAGAGTAAACAGCCCAAGCTCAGGACTTGGAATCCCACCAATCCTCACCCTGGAAATCTCAACCCTAGAAAGTTTTGGTCCCAAGAATCCCTATATAAACTCTGCATTCTGTTCAGTTCTCTGCTGCTTCTCGCCTGAGCAGAGGCAGTCATCCTCCTGGGTTCTTTCCTCCCTGTAAATCTCTTGTGTGAGGTTTTATGTGGTGTGACTTTATGGTGTTCCTTGCCTCCTGACTGCCATCATACTTTCTCCTTAGAGCTGTAGCATTTACATTGGTTCCATGACTTGGATTGACTTTCCTTGTGCCTGTGCTCCTCCTCGGGATCTAAATTGCCTGGGATGCTATCCCTCATCTCCAGTTCACCCACAACAGGCTCACCAATCACTCACTATCCCTTAGAATCAATCCAAAGGGTCACCTAATGGCACCGCTGATCCTAACATTATTCAGGACCTTTGCAAATACTATGAGCGATCAGGGAAATGCAAAGAGAGCCCCCATTCCCCATTTCCCTCTTCTCTACTCCAAGCCCTGTTTGTTTTTGCCTGATCCCTCCCTTCAAACTGTGTAAATGTCCTATTTTTTAAAATTACCATTGATGGATCTGTAAGTTTGTTACAAAGTGGAAGCCGAGCCGATCTAGCAGGAGGGGACAAAAGAGAAGGAGTAGGCCAGCTGCAGCACACCCTCCATACGCATTCCTTGCTTCGTGATGATCTCTCAGCTCCCTCCCGTAGTGTCCACTGTCTATAGTCAGGGCTCGAAAACTTCCTGTCTCTAAGCCTGCTTTGCTCTCAACTTACTGAATTTCGTTTTACTTGTCTTCTTGGTGTCCTTTAGATATGTGTGCAATTAGGCTGATGCTTTATGCTGTTGCACTTCAACTAAAAGCTGGCTCTGCCTTCATCCAGTAACTGAGGAAAGTAGATGCTGAGATCCACAGTCAAGCACTGGGCCAAGCTCCAGGAGTCCAGTTGATGAGAGGGAGGAGGGGCTGTATGAGCAAAGCAGGGTCAAGGTCATGACGGAGGAACCCGCAGAAGCAGCTGACCCGAGCTAGTGTAGGTGTCCAGACTCTGGACCAACAGCTAGGGAGCCTGCGTGGGACTGACCTAGGCCCTCGGCATGTGTAACTTGGTCTGTCTGTGGAGCCCACAGCAGTGGATCAGGACCTGTCCCTGGCACATGAGCTGGCTTTTCGGAACCTATTCCCTATGCTGGGGTGCCTCGGCCAGCCTTGGTGTAGGGAGAGGAGCTTGGTCCTGCTTCAAGGTGAGATGACCTGCTTTGTTAACTCCCCTGTGAGGCCTGCCCCTTTCAGAATGGAGGAGGAGTGGATGGGGGTAATAGATGGGAGGTGGGGAGAGGGAACAGAAAGAAAGGAGGGAGGGGAAACTATGGTTGGTATGTAAAATAAATGAAAAAATTAATAAAAAATAGAAAAGGGGAAAAACTGGCTCTGGAGTTGGGGTATGGCTCCCCCTCCAAAATCGCTGTCCCATATCAGGCGAGCCACCTGGCTATGACAGAGAAAGGAGAGCAAAACAAAATAAAAAGACAGGCCATTCCCAATGGGCCCTAATTGCCACTCACCTCATACTCTTTTGGTTTTGGTTTAATTCTCTGAAACTTTTGCTAAAGTATAAATCTTATCTCAAGATTTGTAAGCTTATTGGATATGATTAAAAACCTATAAAATCTGTAATAAAAGGATTAACCTAAAACTTGAAATACTGGGGTTGATAGTTAAGCATCTACACATGGTTAAAGGAAACACGTGACTTGCTGTCTGCTTAGCTGCTGTCCCCGTCTTTGGATGGAAGCCGGCACGTGATTGACAGCTATCTTTGCTAGGGTTGGCAAGGATGGATTTTTGCCATGTGACTTCCCTCCCGTCTTGATTAGAAGTGACCACAGGGCATACGCCAATCAAGGGAAAACAACTCCTAGCTGTCAAACCCAAACCAGAGGATTCCTCCACTGTCTTTGACCACGTCAATGAGCCTCCCCACTCTCAGCCTCAACCTACGGTTCCTTCTCTCCCACTCTGGCCTCTTCAGTCTCTCTTCATCCCTTCTCAGCTACACACCATTCAAATGAACCAGTTATCCCCCCCTTATTAAAGAATTCCAATATATTACCCAATTTTACAACCTCGCCTTCCATGATGCTTATATGATTGTCACCAACCATCTTTTTCCTAAGGAGCACAGGTAAATCTGGGACCAGGCTAGGATACATGTAGACAAAATCCATCAAACTAATGATGCCCATCCAGCCAGGGCCAAGGCTGTCTCTGACTAGGACCCTGTTGTGGAATATTTGTTTAACCATGCAAAGATGTGTTATATTTGTTTAACTATGTAAAGATGTGTTGCTGTTTTAACTTGCCTGCCCAGTGCACCTGATTGGTCTAATAAGAAGCTGACCAGTCAACAGCAAGGAAGAAAGTATGGGTGGTACTTCTGGGCAGGGGGAGTAAGTAGGAGGAGGGATTTAGGCTTGGGGAGAGGAAAAAAAAGAGATGCTAGGGAGACGTCAGGGAGACACCAGGGGCCAGCCAGCCAGACACAGAGGGAGCAGGAAAAGTAGGACATACAGAATACAATAAAGGTAAAAAGCTTTGAGACAAAACTTAGATGAATAAAAAACAGATTAAATTAGGTCATAAAAAACTAGTGGGACAAGCCTAAGCTAAGACTGAGCATTCATAATTAATGAGTCTCCATGTCTTTATTTGGGAGCTGGCTAGTGTCTCAAAAAAATTCCAACTACTGGACCCAAAATGGAGCTATAATATCCCAGGAGGTATCCTTGCTAGGGATCAATTTATAGCTTGGTTCCTGGCCAGTCTCTACAAGGCCACCCTTAAAGTGGTAAATTAGGAAAAAACCCAAGAGGTCATCCAGGACAAACACAAAACCTGTCTCAGTTCCTAGTCCATCTTACAAAAGCCCTCTTACAATATACCAATCCCGAGACCAGGAATGAAAGCAACTCCTTCTGACCCTACTTCTCCCAGAGTTTCCCTGATATTAGGGCCACATTTAAAGGTCTAGAGAAAGGAACATTGATTCCATAGGCAGAAGTCTTAGCTATGGCCTTCAAGGTGCACCATGAGAAAGTTGAAAAGCCTGAAAACAACACCTGATGTTCAGCCAGTTCTAGTGGTTGCCCAGGGTTCCTGGCCTCCTAAAGCCTCAGAACCTCTGGGCGCCTGTTTCAAATTCAGTCAGGAGGGTCCCTGGGCCTAGCCCTTGTAAACCACCTGGACTATGTCCAAGGTACCATCAAGAAGGGCATTTGGAATGTTGACTGCCCCCATGTCCCTCATGGAGTGGGGACATCAGGCCCAGATCATCCTCCAGTCAACCTCTTTGGTAACTGAGGGAACCCGGCTCCCTGGGTCCAACCATTGCTGTGCCAGGGAGCCTCAGGTAGGCACCACAGTGTCACAGTGGTCCATCTCCTTTCTGGACACTAGGGCTACTATTTTGATCATGACAGAGTTTTGTGTACTCACCTCTCCTTCTCATTCCTCTATTGTTAGAATATGGGGACAGCCTTATCAGCCTCACCAAACCCCACCCAGCCGTCGTCTTTTAGGGGTATTTCCCTTGTCCACCCCTTTCTAATGGGACCAACCTGCCTGGTCCCCTTGCTGGGAAGGGGCCCTCTAGCTAAAGTAGAAACCTCTATTTCTTTTGCTCCCCCCATCTTCTTGACCACAGGTTCACCAACCATCTCCCCTCTTCTTTTCCTCCAAATCACACAATCTGACACACCTCTTCTCTTACAGGCTTCCCAGGTGGATTCCTGAGTATGAGACACCCAAAATCCCGTTATAGTCAAACATTAATCCCTTCTCATCATTCAATTACAAAACCTTTTCCCTCCCATCCCGGGCAAAAGGTGAGCCATAGTCCACCCACCTGACCCTGGTTATTTGGAAAGTTTTGTCTTTTCTGTTTTCTGTGTGTAGACAGGTCTATCTTTTCTGGTGTATCCCTAAGTTTTATTGTAAACACTGGAGCCAAGACGGAAATCGGTCAGACTCAGTTGAATGTATGAATGATAGTGGCCATTGTATGATTTGTTTCTGACTGATCTTCTTTGAGTGTGTGAGCGTCCCGTGTTCTGTGCTTATTGGTTTTGTTTTTGCTTTCCCTGCTTCTGCCAGCCACCAGCCACCACTGCTTGCATTACCTGCTGTGTGAATGCTTTGGTGGCCGGAGCTCAGAATTCACCTCCGGACTTTCTGTTCACTGAATTCGGTATGACCGATAGGATTTAAAGACAATACTTGTCTAGTAAGGTACTAAAGCTACACTTCCATGCATTCACGTAGAAAAATGTAACAATGGCCTCAGCCAAACGTCTTACATGCGAATTAAAGAAGTTAACCTTCGGGTCACCTGTTACTGTCTCCTCTCTCCACCACCTGGCCCCACCTTCTAAAATGCAAAGGTCTCCAAATACGACTACCTTCCTGAGTTTTCTCTCTTCAGGAAGCTTTGGTAGAGGATGCCATACTTACTTTGTTCAGCCATGCCCATGTCTCAACATTTCAAACTGACTCAAGTTGCTGATTTGATATCTAAACTTGCTCTTTCCTCCCCTGTCCTTCCTGTCTACATCTGCCAAGGGTAACTCTGACATATGCATGTTTAATATCCACAAGCTATTTATACTTTTGTGTGGTCCATGAGCTCTCTCTAATCAACAGCCTGTCCTAACAGAGTCAGGATATTGCTCTGTATCAGGCTGTTAAAGGCCACTTTAGTCTCCTACAACTCCTTTATCCATCTCTTTTTCACCAGGACTGACCCTCATGCTTGTTTTCTCTATGATCAAACAGAAGATTAATGTAAAAAGTGGCCAGAAACTTGAAGATTACCCACATTGGTCCTACAACTACCGTGGAACAAATTGGGGCTGTGTTAATTGCACATCAGCTACTGAAAACACTCTATCTGGCCACATTGGAGAACGTTGGTGGTGTTTGACTGGGGAGGGACACACATCTGTGTCCTCACCCATTGGGCTACTAGACTCTCACCATGTCTCTTATAACCATCAATTTTCATCTAAGTTCATCTAGGATCTTCAACAGGTGGCTCAGACCATCTTAATCCTCTAGGCCCAAGGGGTTAACTTTTTGCTTCTTGGAGTTCAAAATTAGTGTTCCCTATCACAAAATGTATTGTGAATATTTTGGACAAAAAGTCTTTAGCTCATGGGCCATACAAAAGTATGAACTGTGGCCTGGGCTGGGCCTGTGAGCAACAGTGAAAGGGTTTTGTGGATAAAGAGTATCTTGGTATGGGGAGCCAGGGAACACCATGAAAATCACACCTTGCAACAGACCTCATGCCAGAGATTTATTAGGGAAAGGGAACGGAAAATGGTTGCCTGTGAGCAGGCATGGAGACAGCAGCAGACCAGGTCATGATGGCAGGGTGGCGAGCGTGAAAACACATTGGTCACCATTGAGGACAGGACCTTGAAGATTGGGGGTGGGGTGGGGTGGAGAAGCACCTGGTTCTGGAATGTGGGTGGTTCTTAGTTGACTAACATTCCTTCCTTTTGCTTATTGGAAACGGCAAGGAAATAGGGTGAGGTAGAAGTGAGGGCTGCTTTCTGTTTTCTAGAGACATTGGCATCTTTGGGGACCCAATAAAGCTGGACTGCTGACCAAGGCAGGAATGAGCAGGCTGTTTCACTCGCTGTCCAGTCTCTATGGGATCATCTGGGGCTATGGAAGTATAGGCCAAATTGGGGTAGTTTGTAGTCTCTAATTGATTGGAAATCTGCTGAAACAGACGTAGGTTAGGGGCAGAAGGTAACATTAAGGGGCCTGAGGGAAATTTTTATCTTGGGTATACACTTAAAAACTCTCTCACTCATAGTCCTGGCAGTTGGTGGATGAGAGTCCCAAGATCAGGGAAAGGGGGAGAGGTCCCGTCCTCAGGAACAGGCAGGCAGGGCAACCTAGGAGGATTTATCTAGAGTCCACTTGACCTGTGAGAGGTGGGGCCAAGGTGATTCCCTGAAGATTACATGATTTTTCAGTTTACAAAACAAGGTAAAAATTTTAGCTGTGTTAACATCGCCACTGTTTGTAATCTGCACTGGAATCCACACTGTAGAAAAGGCAGTAGACTCTGAGTCATAAAATAAGCCCGGGGACCCAAAATGATTCTGAGTTCAAAGCGTCTGTGAATTTATCTGGTAGCCAGCAAACTGCTGTCTTTCTCAGCTGGAGACCTAGA